CTAGGAAGTAAATGGTGAGTAAAATCAGACAATTTTCCTTCCGTTTCCAAAACTTTGGCAATTATTTAAGAAAAACCTTGTTTATGAACGTATTCACTCATTCATAGCAGGCGCGCTTATGATCAGAAAAAAAAGGGAAAAATATAGTCTTTTTTCCAAACCAATTTACTCTGCCAGGATGTAGAAGAAAATTGCGAAAATTTAAACGAAAAGTGTCGCACTTTAGCTTGAAGTTGACAAAAGGTAGGTTTATCTTTGCTAAGATTAACTCATAGTTAGGCCCGTAGTGAAGTCCCCTCAGCGAAATCACCTAAGGACAGCGTCAGGTGAACTCACTCCAAGGCAGGCAAGGTTCGGGGAAACAATTGATTGGAAAAATCCATAGCATGCGCAATCCACTTTAAATAGACTTTCACAACGCTGTCATGTCATGAGTTGATAGTTCATTGGTTAGAGCGGCCACTGAGCAACTGATCATGGTTTGAATCCGCGCAGTGCTAGACTGTTTTGCTACTAAATCGATTTACATAAAGGATCATAGATGCACTGCAAAGTTGGAGACAGAACGGACTCGGACCAAGTCATTGATTAGGAGCGAATTTTGGGAAAACCACTAGCAAAAGCGTGCATTTTCGGGTAGATGATGCTCTACATCCCCTGACGAATTCTCATAAAACACACTTTCTCTCGTATGAGCCGTCAGGGGAACTCTCCTCTTAGGGGCTCAGTTCATCTCAGCACAGAACCTCGCATGACCGTGATCCCTCCGTGGACTTTGTATCCTTATATTATGGCGGAGGGATCGGCATCATGTGAATTTGTTGCATTTGGACTAGCGCCGTCAGATCAGATCATCTCACCTGACGAGAACTTTACTACGGGCCTTATTCTTCCACCAATGGAATTTTGGGGTACTTATGATACCTTCTTGAGACATAGCAAGAAAAGCACATAGTGTGAGATTTGACAGATACCCTAAAATTTGGACGAAATTAAACGTACAGGATCCATCAACATCCCGCCT